CTTTCTGTCAGTCTATCGGGATACCCACGTAGTTTTTTTTTGATGCCTATTTAGTTTTTTTTGATGTCTATTTAGTTTTTTTCGATGTCTATTTAGTTTTTTTTAACCCCTCTCCCATTCATTAATTAGTTAAGTAAGCAACTAGTTAACTAATTAATTAATTAATTAGTTAATTAATTAATTAAGCCGGATAACGTATGTGGGTAGTTCTCTAAATTAGGGTGCCATTTTATGTCCCCAATATAGTATCGCACCCTTTAAATAAAAGACCCCCGACATGGACCCTTATTTAGAGAACTACGCATGTAAGAACTGCTTCGGTGCTAAAGAAAGAAAAGCCGTACTCCGCGATGTTCTGTGCAATCTCCTTCTCGCCTTAGTGCTCACAGCCAGGGTACACATGTAAGGTACCTTTGTAAGGGTTTAGGGTTTAGGGTTTGGGGTTTTGGGTTTAGGATTTATGGCTTGCCTTAAAGATGAGAGTCTTCACGTGCAAGGAACCCCTAGGATAGACCTTGAACATTTCTATCCGTACGGTACCACAAGAACTCGGCAGCAAAGCAACCCCAGTTTTGAGGAACCTGATATTTCCTTATCTAAAACCCCAACACGAAAGCCCTGAAGCCCCAAAGCCCTAAACTCCAAACCCACTTAGTTAGCCCCTAAACCTTATGAAACCCACTTGAAAGGCTTCAAAGAAGGGAGTGTTGACTTTGCCTATGGTTAAAAAGGAAACTTGTTTGAAGACACCGGTCAGACACCCTGACCCTAAACCCTAAACCCTCTTGCATGAGAGAACTGCACTGACTGAGGTCCTCGCTGAAGGAGGTAGCCAGGGCCTTGTCGAAGCCGCAGGCCCGGGAGGCCAAGGAGGTCATCGAGTTCCTCGGCTTTTTGGTTGAGGGGTTTAGGGTTTAGGACTTGGGGTTCAAGGTTTAGGGTTGTTTCTTGAGGGTTTAGGGTTTAGGCGTTAGGGCTCAGGGTTTAAGGCTGTTTGTGGAGAGTGTGGGGTTTCGGGTTTAGGCTTTAGGCTGTAGGTTTCGGGGATCTGATCCTGCGAGCGATTTTCCATCCCTTAAACACTCCAGGGTTGAGGGTCATACGGTGTTGTAGGGTTTGGTAGGGGCTTGATAAGGATTTTGCGGGATTTACTCGGTGCTGTAAGGATTTATGGTGCTTTGGACGGCTTCGCTGAGCTGTAAAATGCTCCATTGGCTGCTAGGGAAATTAATCGGAGATACCAGAAAGAAGGTTTAGAGTTGCGGATGTTAAGGTGTCTTGAATTTGAGATGTCATGCCAATCATGCCAACCAGCAGCAGCTGTCATGACAACCAAACGAAGAGGAAGCGCGGTATGTGCTTGCTGTGGGTTTCCTGTTGCTGTAGCCTGAAACTTGCCATGGTAGGTCCTCCCCCTTATTTGTTACACATCCATGTTATACTGGTGGTGAGCAGCATTAAGTGTTCCTGAACACAGATCCAGCTTCGAGGAAACCTGGCTTGCCTTGTGAGCCATGTCGATCCGCCAGTAGCTCAGGGCATTCTGCGAAGAAGTGTCGTAGGGGTTTTCGACGAAGCTCGTGGAAACCATGTAGCAGAACACCAGCTGAATGAAAATGGTGAGTCCCAGAAGGAACCTGGAGCATGACAAGACACCACAAGCAAGGATCAATTATCTTTCCAAACTTCATGGTCCGGGACTGCTCTTCGCGACCAAGCGGCAGAAGCAAAAGCGATGAGCCATAACCGATGGCAGGGTGTCCGAAGCAGACTACCACATCCCAGCAGTTTTCTTCAAAAACATATCCCTCGGCGCTCTCCACAGGGTGCTCCGTAATTCCTGTGTTCTTTGTGTCGTAATGTCTATGAACCTCAGCCGAGATCGCGGACACCCCTGGCAAGAATAGACATATCATGACTGGTCTGGGCACACACACACACAGACACACACACACACACACACAGACAGACACCTCCGTGCTGCTGAGGCTCGAGGTCGCTCTCGGATGAGGAGGTTTCACTGGCCTCAATATCTCCATTGGGGTCCCCCTGCACGCCTTGCAAGGGCAGGGTTTAGGGTTTAGGGTTTAGGGTTTAGGGTTTGGGGCAGGCTGCCCTTGAGCGACAGCCACAAAGCGAGGGCCTGGATGCGGTCGGCGCGAATCGAACTCCAGCTGGTCGACACGCTTTACGACCTTGGCCAGGAGGCTGCCCCACCCAGATCCACACCAAAGCTAACCAGGACGCAGTTGGGAACAGTTTGACATGGATCCTTCTCCGAAAAGAGGCATCTGCATTGACCTGCTTAATCTCCGAGATGGCCGCTTCCAGCTGCAGCAGTCTCGCCTCCACCGGCCCGGAGCTGAACATAGCAGCTGCCTCTGCCTTTTATCCGACCATAGAGACTTGAGACCCAAACGGCAAAAAAGACGAAGATGAAGAGCACGAAATACAGCGGTGGTAAACTCGGCTCAGACAGAATGGTGCTGTCAAGAACCTCGTGACATGGCTCAGATTTCACGCAGCTTCGTCCTCGGCGGGCAGCAGAGGCCTTTCGCTGCCCTGAAAATCCCGAAGTGTGACCGCGGAGAACTCGTCCTGACAAACATACTTGGAGGTTCATGGGTAGTTATAAATGGGGTTATAAGTCCCCTAATATGGGTTATAACTACAGTTACCCTACTTATAACCCTACTTGTAACTACCCATGAACCTCCAAGTACCAGGAGACT